GATGACGATGACGATGACGATGACGATGACGATGACGATGACGATGACGATGACGATGATCGAACTAGCTTGCTAAAGCTTCTTACCTTAGTGCCACTCAACGTCTCTAAATGTTTCTTCAATTCAACATCACCTACTTTTCCTCCAGGATCCCTGATCGTGACGGCCTCAGCAACGGACGCAGACTCAGGCACAGACGGGGAGATCGTCTTCTCTCTCCTTGACCCCGACGTGCCATTCGTCCTTGAACCCGATTCGGGTCAGCTGCTTGTCGGTGTGGGACTGGACGCTGAGACCCAGTCCAGTTACGAGCTGGTCCTCCTGGCCACAGACAAATCTACAACCGTCCCGAGATCTGCCTCTGTGACCTTCACCGTTAGTGTGGCAGACGAGAACGATAACTCTCCCTCGTGTGATGTCGTGGGAGAGATTGTTGTCACTCCGGATACCAATATTGGCACGATTTTAGGTGAGAGGTTTCATTATCATCATCATCATCCTTTTTTGTCTGGAAGCATAGCATTTATACAGTCATATTGACACAGTTTTGCACAATGTAACTTACAAACATCGAGACAAAAAAAAAAGAAATAAAAAGGAGTCTTTAACCTTGAGCTTACAGTCACTGCAATTTATATTGTAACTGTAGAAATTCTGCGCCCTCATCTATACGATTTAGGTTATTAATGAGGCGGGCTGCTTCGACCAGCTTGCCAGGGCCCACCCAGATTGAGACAATACAACGACCTCGCAGACAAACGGAGACAGTCAATAAAAGAACCTCCCCCATATAGAAATTAAACTCTCGTCTTTTGCATGGGACCGCGATGTGTTTAACCGCTACACTACAGATACCGACAGACCCTATGACTTTATCAAAGTCAGAATAAACAACAGACGTGCTATAAAACATGAACCTAGGTCAGGGGTTACCAAACTACGGCACGTTAGCCAGATCCAGCTCGTAAGGTCAGTTCGTCTGACGCGTATGCCAACATACGGGGGGAAAACCTGGAAGACTTGTACGTACGTGCTCAGCATTTTCATAAATAATTCTGAAATCTATACACTTTTTCCTGCTTGTTTTTTAGATTTAAATACGTGCGCACTTAGATCTAGTGTGACATAATAATCTCATTGTAACACTAATTAATTTTATAACATTTTTGTAAATTAATGTACATACGTTTGTTGTCTTCAGAGATAGAGATAGATAGATAGATAGATAGATAGACAGACAGACAGACCGACAGACAGACAGACAGACATGAAGAGAGAGAGGGGGATACACGTGCGCGCACGTGTGTGTGTGTGTATGTGTGTGTGTGTATGTGTGTGTATGTGTGTGTGTGCGTGAGTGCGCGCGCGCGCGTGAGTGCGCGCGCGCGCGTGTGTGTGTGTGTGTGTGTGTGTGTGTGTGAGAGAGAGAGAGAGAGAGAGAGAGAGAGAGAGAGAGAGAGAAAGAGAGAGAGAGAAAGAGAGAGATATATATAGAGAGGGTATATTTTTGTATGTTTTTACATGTGTGTGTGTGTTTGTGCGTGTGTGTTTATGTTTGTGTGTATGTAATTTTGTATGTGCGTGTGTATGTTTGTGTATGTATTTACACACTATTGCCATACATGCTTTGAACAATAACAAATCCAATATCTATTTAGATATTGATAAAATCCTCTTCTAACCACTTAGCCTTTATCAAAGAACCCTCACTGTTTATCCTACCACAGGCCAGCTCAACTGTATTGACCCCGACCCAGGCGCCCCAACCCCCCGGTTCACCAAAGTGTCAGGAGACCCAAACAACTTCTTCCTCATCGATGCCGGAACCGGTGAGATCCGATTGGCTACAAGACCGGACGAGGGCATCTATAAGATTCAGGTCGACGTGGAGGACGGAGGGGCTGACCCCTTACTGACCATTAGAATGCCTTTCCAGGTCAAAGTGGAAACTGATCTTCATATTGATACCTTGCCCCTCACTTTGCCTGTGGCTGAGGACACGGGGTGGGGCGACACAATTCTGACTCTTACAGCTGCAGGAGGCTACGGCCCTGTGACTTTCTCTATTATGAGTGGTAATGGTGATGGGGTGTTTCACATAGATAAAATGTCCGGAGCCATTAAACTACTGAAAACTCTTGATAAAGAGGGCACAGATTCTTATGCTCTGGTTATAAAGGCGGTTTCTGTCAATGGGTACAGTGCTGAGAGCAATTTAGATGTTATAGTAACGGATGCCAATGACAATTCTCCAAAGTATTCCAATTCGTACGACAGCGTAAAAGTGTCTGAAGGCGTATCGACCCCAACGTTTTTGAGACAAATCACAGCAACAGATGCAGATACAGGGGCAAATGCGGTGATCAGTTACTCAATTCTTTCCGGGAACGATGAAATGAAATTCTCATATGACTCAACAGGAAACCTGCAAGTGGTGGCTACTCTAGACTACGACCTGACTCAGACATATATCCTGGTCCTCCAAGCCACAGACAATGGTAGCCCCGCCCTCACAGGAACAACCAGTGTCTTCGTGGAGGTGGAAGGAGTCGATGAGCACGTGCCGGTCATCGTGAAGACGAGCAGTGGTCAAATCTTTAAGAGTATAGCCGAGGACGCGGCCGTAGGTGGGGCCTTGTTTCAAATCAGTGCCGCGGACGCGGATTTTGGGTCTGAGATCTCGTTCTCCTTCACCGGAGGCAACTCTGATGGGCATTTCACAATAGATCAAAACTCTGGGGTCGTCTATTTAGTCCTACCCTTAGACAGACAAAATATCCCATCGTATAGCCTCGACATTCTGGTCTCCAACGAGCTAGGGCAGACTGACTCAGCTACTGTGGAGATAACAGTGACGGACGCAAACGATAACGACCCTGTCTTCGACAGAGGCAATTACGTCTTTGAGGTGCCTCATGGGACAGCTGCTGGTGACGTCATAGGTACCCTGGCTGTCAGTGACAGAGACGAGGGCGTGAACGGAAGGTCTACTCTGTCCATCACTTCAGGTGATCCTGGCAGTGTGTTCACCGTCAACGGTTTTTCTATCCAGGCCGCAGCCGTGCTGGATGCTAATGTGGAGGATCTCTACTCTCTGGTTGTAAGTTCTATTGTATATTATTATTTTTGATTGAGATGACATGCAGAATGCTCCACCGTGTTTCTCGGTTAACATAGCATTTAATTTATGCCTTTTGTGATCAGCATGAAACCACCAGATTTGTATTGCTTTATTAGTGTCTGTAATAAAGGCATTATTGGTAACCGTGGAGAGGACGTTTCAAAGACTGAAAATTTGATAGTTCCTACAATCATGACCGGTGTAATGGTATTTCAGATAAAAAGCTTTACATCACATTAACCATAAACAACATATTCCAAAACTGTGTTAGTTTTCAGCGGAGTTTCTAGTTTACACATATTTCATCGGCACGAGAGACCCTAACTTTGATCGCTCTAGTTGGTCAAGTGGGCCTCGAAGTAAAACATATTTTTGACAAGAGTGCGTACAGGTGTCTGTGGTGAAGTGGTTAGGCTCTCCGTTGTGGCACTCTGAAAACGTGAGCTCGATTCCCGAGCACAGGGGGGGGGGGGAGGTTATCGTGTACCTCCTGACTTCTGATACGCTGCACACCTGTCAACCCTGTTGGCCCCGACAAGTACTATCGAAGCAGCCCTGCCGTTAGATATTAATATGTTGGTGGTGGCTTAAAATATCTACAACTTTGATTGTAAATTATAAGACAGCCTACCACTGCTTATACTCAGCAGACAGCCGGGAAATAAATAGGATTCACATCTGGGTCCCCTGCAACTTAGTGCCTTACCGCGTGCGGTTTAAGTGTGCCAAAATTGTCATTAAAAGTAAATTATAACCCCCCCCCTTAAAAAAACAACAACAACATTACCACCATTTCTTCGTGCATCACGATAATCACAACCAGATGTTCCCTGTATCTGATAGACAAGCACCCATCTAACTGTGACCACTATAGAGACCCCATATCTGTTTTACGTTCGAAGTGGATACTTTAGGCCTGTTCTTAACTGTTCTGTACTGAATTTACAGGTCACTGCCACAGACGGGGGTACCCCAGCTAGATTAGCCTCTGCCATTGTAACCGTTCACGTGAGTCCAGAATTTAAGAGTCCAGCGTTCGGATCAGAAACGGACTCAGTGACTATACAAGAGACTTTTCCCTTGGGAAGCCTTGTGTACAATTGTGACGCAACCCATGATGGGGCAACTGATGGGAAAGACGGAGATCTGGAGTACTCAATTATTGCAGGGAACGACGAAAACACGTTTGGTATAGAACTGCTTGAGGGAACTCTTTTAATTAAACGTTCTTTGAGCTTTGATGCCAGAAGCTCTTACACTCTGACGATTCTCGCCACGAATCGATTACGTCCCTCACTTTCGGACACGTTGAAACTTACAGTTGTCGTGACACAAGTGAATCAACACACCCCGGAGTTTACAGACACGTTGTATGTGTTTAACGTGCAAGAAAACGCAGCGATAGGCACTCCAGTGGGTACCGTATCAGCAACCGATGGCGATTCGGGGAGCTTTGGTGACCCGATCTACAGCCTCGAGACTACAACTCACTTCCAGGTAAACGCTAACACAGGGGTCATCACAACGGCCGCCACCATCGATTTTTCGCTAGACCAGAATTTTCATCTAAGAGTTTTCGCAGCGGACAACGCTGGCGTGACGTCGCGGACTGGCACAAGCGTCCTGCTGATTACAGTGAATGACGTCAACAACAACAGCCCTACATTCCCAGCTTCTCCGTACACGCTGGACATTCGAGAGAGCCTACATGCCTCCAGTCCCATCCACGTCCTCGTGGCTTCGGACCTGGACACGGGTACACAGGGCAGTGTCCAGTACAGTCTGACCGCTGGAAATACCGGGGGCCACTTCGCCGTGGACGCTTCTACTGGCGTGCTTTCACTTCAAACACAAGTAAGCATCATCCATTTTATAAATGTGTGCTGACGATGAGATTTTGAAACACGAGTAAAAATATAGAAATAATAAACACGATAATGAATAATAATAACAACAATATGAATGATAAAAATGATAATGACGATGATAATACTACTACTACTACTACTACTGCTACTGCTACTACTACTACTACTACTACTACTACTACTACTACTACTACTACTACTACTACTACTACTACTACTACTACTACTACTACTTATTATTATTATTATTATTATTATTATTATCTTTATTATTATTATTATTATTATTATTATTATTATTATTATTATTATTATTATTATTATTATTATAGATCATCTTCAGCAAAGTAATTACAATTTACTAAATACTTTGCAAACTTTCTATCATGTTCTGGTGTCAAAACAGGAAACCTCTAATTGCTAACAAACACGTCCGCCTCCTAAATGTTTTAAATTATGTCCATGAGAGTGTGAACAAACATGTACATTGAAAAAATGAAGCTATTTTTTCCACAAAACGTGAACATTATGTCTTGTCTTCTCTCTTCCACAGGTGGACTATGAGTCTGGACCACGACAGTACGTTCTGGAGGTAGAAGCCAAGGACGGTGGCAGTCCTAGCCTCACCGGTACCGCCACCGTCACCGTCAACGTGCTAGACGACAATGACGAAGCCCCCAGCTTCTCTCAGTCACGCTATGACGTAGCGGTGTCGTCAGCTCTGACGTCAGGCTCTCTGGTCCACACGGTTCTCGCCACCGACCCGGACAGCGATCAGATCTATTACGTCATACAGAACGGCAATTCCGGAGGTCTATTCTACCTGGACACCACTTCTGGGGAGATTAAGACAACCCCGGGGTTGGCAACGGCGCCAGGAGACGTCTACACCCTGGAGGTGATCGCTGTGGACAATGGGGCTCCTATGTTGACGGGCACTACCACGGTAGAGGTCACGATACAACCTTTAGTAACCCCACCCACTTCAGACTACGCTTTCAGCGTGACAGAAAACCAAAGCATTGGAACCCTTGTGGGGACTATCGCCAAAGACAGCGCTCTGGGTGCCATTAGCTCTTATTCTATTATGTGAGTACGGTGCATTTTTAAGGTCTGCATAAGAAGATGAATTTTAAAAAATTACATTTTTTTTAGCGTCCAGGAAAAACATGTCAATGGTGAACCATGATCGCTGATGTCTATTGCGTATCTGACATTTGAAGAAGATGACAAGTACATTATAATGGTAAATATGTTGTGCCCCCATTGACACACTTTAGTTACTTCTTCGACCCTGCTTTTCAGGGTCAACCCAGGGTGAGAAAGAAACAATGTCCCGGCAGACAGACAATGATACTCGATAGAAGTAATCCCCTTGAGAATGAAACCCTCAAGCTGTGAGTGTGACGGCGAAGAGCGTAACCATTACACTACAGAGGCTAATGAAGATGAATGTAATGCTATATAATCAAGCAGAACGGTAAGTAGGTAGGAATGTAGATAGATACAAGGGTAGGCTCTTATACTCTTGGCGTAAGTATCCCAACTTATAACATAACTGCAGCGATTTGGGTGATCAAATTATATTCTTGTTACAAGTAACATTAAGAACTGGAACTGAGGCTGGATTCTTTCGAAAGTGGCTTTTTCAGTCAATGATGGGCTGCATCAATTAATCAGTTACGGGAATCATTACTGATTATTATTATTATTATTTTGTTTTTAATATTATCATTACAACCTAACATACACGCACAGAATAAGAGATAACAATTTGAATCTTATTGAGTCTGAACAAAAAATCTGTTGATTTCCTGAGAATTTTTCATGCCTAAATTCCCTCTTTTGTTTTATTTCTATTCACAAGAGGTGGGAACATCGCCAACGGCTTCAGCATCATCACAGGTGCTGGCGAGACAGGGGAGCTCCGGACTGCCTCAGTGTTGGACCGGGAGACAGTGTCTCTCTACAGACTCACAGTCCGCGTGCAGGGAAGCCTTGGAGATGTTGAAATCGTTGTGAGTACATTCTTACTTCGTAGTCTAAAACAGCCATATTATGCACTGCTCACAGCCGAACGCTCCATATCCCGGATCCTAGCATGGAGATCATCAGGAGAGAATGCGTCGCTGTTTCGGGCTCTTCCTCTCTACGGCTTTCCTGACGCACCGAGCCCCCTCACCAATGTGAGGTCTCCATGCTAGTCCGACTGTTTTCCTCTGCTGCCAACTCTTAGGATTCATTTCAGCCTGCGTCCTCTTGCTTCAACCAGCTCCATTGACTGGCTTTCTCTACTGTCTCGGGAAGGGAGTTTATGAGTTCGTTACTTTTCTTTTTCGTTAAGTCCTGCCACTCTCATCAACTTACGGACGCTAATTGCTACGAAACCTCTGCATCCTACCTCTACCGGAAAATGGGTTGCTTTCCAACCTGCCTCCTAACATTTTCGACAAGCGCCTCGTAACGGTTTTCTTTCCGCTCATGTGCAGCATTGATATCGTCTTCGTGAGGCAGCGTGAGCTCCTCCAGAAGCACCACTTTCTCTTTTTTCCCCCCATAACACCAAGTCTGGCTTTTTTGTTGTTGGGATGGGGAAGAATGTCTGGAATCAGTTCTGGACAGGGAGGTGGTATTTCTCTACAGACTCACAGTCCGCGTGCGGGGAAGCCTCGGATAAACTTGTTATACAGAATCTTACTTATGGTACAGAAAATACTACAAAGGGTATCGAATTTTCCTAAAATAGTTGAGCCATTCAGTAATGTGATGATAATCGTAATAACTTGTTGGTTGATGAAGAGCCCTTCAAAACAGGGATACATCGGCCACACGTGCATCGATGTTTGACTGCTCGTTCATCACCCAGTTCCTAACACATCATGTTCCAAAGTCCGATGGTTGACATAAAAAAACAACTCACCAAACTCTTCTCCGTAAACTACCAGCTACGTTGTTGAAAATACCTGAATGCGCTTTATTTTCTAAACCTTTGGTCTCTTGTTTCACATAATCTTTTTTCAATGAATTACCAATGTCCGCTTCTGTATCCATGTGAGTTTCCATCCATGCTTTGTAAACGTCTGTCTCTTTTCTCATCACTAAATTCGTCTCAATTATATCTATTAATCTGACAAGAGCATCTTTTTGTTTCTGCTGAGATATTCTAGCCTTTTTTTATCCAAGCCTTTTGGTCTCATATTATCTCCATTTGTGCTAGCAAATCGCAATCTTTTTCTCTCGAGAAGGAAGTCCCCCACCATGATAATTTTTATCATTTCCTTCTTCCATTCCTCTTCCACCCACCTCCCTGGTGCACTTGTCCATTATAATCTTTTCGCAAGAAGTCATTCCTTCTGTATGCATCACAACAAATGTGCAATCCGCTGCCTTCCAGACTCTTACTAAAACACGTCTGATTTTGTAGCGGTAAAACCTGTTGGCTCTTAAAGGACCAAAATTGTGTCGATAGTGCCGTAAAACATCTACCCAATCAATCAATCAAAAAGCTGCCTTCCAATCCTATGTCCATTAACCCCCCCCCCCCCCCCCCCAACACACACTTATTGCTGTCTACAGCTGTAGGAATCTCCGGCAACAATATAGAAAAACATTCTCAAACTCAGGGTCATTTTTAAGAAGATCATTGATAATTTCTGAAAGTGAAATGTTCAAAACATCAGGGTGAAGTGCAGTCGATGATGATAGCCATGGGCAATGCCGTGGCTTCGTGATAGAGGTGAATCGTGGATATTTTGCTGGAGTACAGATGCCATTGTCCGCCCAACCGGATACCCCTTCGGAGTCTGTATAGGTCCAAAGCCATGCAAGGGGGAAATAACAGGGGGACAGGGTGCCTTTGGCAAAAGCTAAGTTATGACTTTGAAGAGAACGTATTCCAAGAAACGTATGGAAAGTATAACCACCGTGTCATACGTCATACTGAATAGGTAAGTGTTGAAGACAATCTTTGCCTTTGCCCGTGGTATAATGATTAGTCTCGTCGGTGTCGCACGTAGAAGACAAGTGTTCGATTCCAGTGTAAGGAGGAACTTTTAAAACTCGAATATCTCCGTCATCATTTTTAAACAGTGAAGCGTTGTACCAGCTTGTACCGCATTCAACCCCAGTTATCCATAATAGGAACGGTCGAAGCAGCCGCCTCCTACACGTCTGAACTGTTTCGAGGGGAGCATAAAATCTTTAGTAAATGTATTACCGTTTGTGTACTATCATCATCATTATTATTTTTATTGTTTATTATCATTATTATTATTGTTGTTATTGTTATTATTCTTAGGCCCCACTACTATTATTGTCATTATTATTATTATTATTATCATCATTAATATTATTATTATTATTATTATTATTATTATTATTATTATTATTATTATTATTATTATTATTATTAAATCTTTTTTATTTTTTTCCCGCCAGGTTCTGGTATCGGTTAATGACGAGAACGACAACATATTATTATTATTATTATTATTATTATTATTATTATTATTATTATCATTATTATTATTATTATTATTATTATTAAATCTTTTTTATTTTTTTCCCGCCAGGTTCTGGTATCGGTTAATGACGAGAACGACAACAGTCCGACTTTCACACCTTCGTCCCTTAACCTGATTGTGGTGGAGAATCTGCCAGCCGGCACGGAGATCGGATCGTTCAGTGTGAGTGACCCAGACACCAGTGGGGTGAACAGTCAGTTCGATTTGTCGATCTCTGGTGTGTTATTTCAGGTGAGTTTATAGTTTCTTCCATTGTCTATCATCTGTTTGTCTGTGTGTGTGTGTGTGTGTGTGTGTGTCTGTCTGTCTGTCTGTCTGTCTGTCTGTCTGTCTGTCTGCCTGTCTGTCTGTCTGTCTGTCTGTCTCTGTCTGTCTGTCTGTCTGTCTGTCTGTCTGTCTGTCTGTCTGTCTGTCTGTCTGTGTACAAATCAATTCACACCAATCAAAGGTTGAATTTTTTTGTCTGTCAGTCACTACATCAAGACTGCCACCAACTACGTTGCAGTATAAGGATTTCACACACTTATTATATAAACTGCAGTAAGGTGTCCATTAGTTACAGTTTCTAATCCTAGTGTTGAAAATGGCATACGTTCGTAAACCTGTCTCATTAACCGTGGCTGTGCTGTAATGATCAGGCTCTTCACTTTGCACGCAGGAGAAGCGAGCTCAAATATATCCCATGTGAGGAAATTATCTTATCGGGTTGCTTTGTTTCTCTGTTGGGATGCACTGCCCCAGTCAGCCCGGTTTGGTCCCTTTTTTTGCAGGTTTAGTTTTTAGTTTTAGTAAGGTTTTACGGCGCTCGCAACTGCATAAGGTCATATGAGCGCCAAGGGGTGGATGTCAACAGAGGAGTCCAAACGGGGAATCAAGTTTACTCTGCTCACCTCTCTAGCATCAAAAGCACAAAGTCTGCTTCAACTATCAAGGCACCCCGGAAATATCCGTTCACAAGGGAGTGACAAACATACAAAAGAAGTAGAAAAAAATAACGATAATAAGGATGGGGAAAGAAAAAGGAGCAGCTCCCCCAATGTTGTCCCGGCACAGTATGAGCATGACATTGATAAATCAGCCAATTTACAATTCTACCATGCATAAGAACATGTTAATATCCCATCTTTAGGAATGGCTTAAAGACAACTTCAGTAATTAGCACTGCCCTGGTTTGGGTGGTTGAGGGGAGGGGGTGTTCAGGTTCAAAGCATCCCGACTTTTGACAGATCAAAAGCACGTCAATGGGGCGTACAGCATCTACAGTCATTCAGTATGTCTTTTCTCCTTTCACAGCATTTTTTCACGGTGTCATCTTCGGGCGTTGTGCGGGTGCTTCGAGAGATAGACTACGAGAAAGGGTACAGGACGTTGGTGTTTGATGTGCTGGCCACAGACAGAGGCTCTCCTGCCCTCACCGGCACCGGCACCGTCACCGTCAGTATAGCGGACGTCACCGAGACCGTCACCGATAGCGGTCAGTTTCATGAAAATTGAAAATATGTTTATCTCTACTAATAGTAAACGCATGAGAAAGAACCTCAAGACTAATTTTTTCGCTTTCTTTATTATTATCAGTTCGATTAAAGACATGCTATAAATAGCGAAAATGATTTCTGTGATGATGAATAGTACTGTGTAGCACTAATTCCCGCTCACCAGCAAGCTCTATTAGCTTTATATTCTATATTGTTGTCCCAAGACACCTAATTGCATTACAAAGAGCAGTCTCAATTTCCTGGGAAGTACACAGTGCAACTAGATCTATACCAACTTGAACAACACCACTCAAATGCAGCTGGGTCTGATGACACACAGATAAGCTATTATTATCACTCTATCATCACGTTTAAACTTATCTGACTTCATAAAGTCGCCACAATCAAGATTTCTTGGATGTTAATTTCTAAAGTGAGGTTAAGGACAAAATTCAAATTTGGCCCACTTAATAAGCAAAGACGCTGTTTTTGTTCTGGGTTACTTACATCATCTGAAGTTGAACCAAAGAGAGCAGTCTACAAGCTCCGCATATCTACAAGAGGAAATGAATGTGGTGCACACCAGATGCCACATTATCACCTTGATCCATATTTTTTCTCTTTTAGAAATTTTCTTCTCCACAGATGCGTCGGTTTTCGTCCAACATTAAAGGACGGAGTAAAATTATAATCATTATCATCATCATTATTATTATCATTATTATTATTATTATTATTATTATTATTATTATCATTATTATTATTATTATTATTATTATTATTATTACTATTGTTATTGTTATAATTGTTACTATAATGATTATAATTACTATTATTACTATGATGATGATGATTTTTTGTTTGTTTCCTTAATGGGCTTGACGGACTCCACGAAGAAATCCCCGAGCGAAAGCGAGGCTCTTTTTCGACTCCATTGTCAATATGCTTAGCGCCAACTCCACTCGTCCAAATAACTCCATTCGAATTGCCATTGTTCCTGGACATTCAATCATATGTTTGACATCCTCCTTCTCTTCCTCCTCCTCCTCCTCCTCCTTCTCCTCCTCCTCCTCTGATGATGATGATGATGATGATGATGATGGTGATGATGATTTTTATTTTTATTTTTATTATTATTTGCATCATCATTACAACGACAATAAGATTTCTTCCATTAGTTGTTTAAAAGACGGTCACTATTGCCTCTTTCCCACAAATCCATCCTTTACAAACTCCAAGTTATCGTTTTTCTTGCATTTCT